AGAATTTAGACTTTGTATTTTACGTTTTATGTAATAAAGTAGGTTAGTAACTTGTAAGTCGACCTTGGTTTCCATCGTGCATTGTTGCTAATCCTGATTATTATGTATTTTGCAATTAAATGCAAATTGCTTCCTATTCATTGCTTGAATTAATTAATGAATTAATTCTATTCAAATAAATAGTTATTTACATTATTTTAAATTTTTGGTTTTATTTTAAGAGTGCGCTTCTCGATGCTGAAAAAATAGGCATTTCGCGTTCGCGACTATGCTGTTTTAATAAAAACAGTTGCATCTAGGGAATTCTAACAAAAACTGTTTTTATGCACGAACGGGCGTAAAAGTGCACTTTTACGCCCGCATTTTAGAGCGTGAAGTAGTACTTTTACGCCCCAGGGCGTCTTTTATGCCCGCGGGCCTGAAAGTTCTAAGATTTCAAAAATAAGCAAGATCTCCAAAAATTCTAATAAATCACATGATTTATGGAAACGTATTAACAAAAGATTTAACAAACCATTTTTAAACACCAAAATAGATATTAAAACACAAGTTGCAGAAGGTCACTTATTCGAAATTTGCCGACGAAGGCGCGAGTGGACGAACGAATGAGTGCGAGAATAGAATTCTGCAACGTGAGCTTTATACTATTTTCTTGATTTTGGATTTTGTTTATCATTTTTTTGAAAAAAAATTGTGGTCGCTGTTAGTTAGGGATTTTTTTTTGGCAAAAAATATCAGTTGGTGAAACTTATTTACCAAACAACAGGTGGATTCTATTATTTTAGAAGGTTAGACAATTTTGAAGGTACCAATAGGTATACTTTGAAAACTAAACGTCACTAAAAATCTTTGAAGAATGAGCTTCATTCTTCAACAATTTTGCGTGCGAGAAATCTGACACTCTTATTACACCAAAATCGAGAAAAACGAAATAGTAAACCATTTTAATAACTCATTTTGCGAAATTGGGTAAAACTTGGCCAGATATACAGTGTGTCCGTAAAGTAACGGATAAATTCATTTATAATTTAGGCATATTTGTTTTTGGAAAAACGCTCAGACACGTCAATCTTAATTTCTAGTGGCGTTGTTTTTGAAATAATATACAGGGTGGCCCAAAAAGGAGATATCACGTGACGCTTCAAATTTTCAAACGGAATGCCCTGTAGGTATATTTTGATGAATATCGATAGAGCCCATCGAGATGAATTCTCGCTCTATCGATATTCATCAAAATATACAGGACATTCCGATTAAAAATTTGGTGTGTCATGTGATATCTCTTTTTTGGGTCACCCTGTATAAATACAAATTAGTTTAAAAAAAGCGCCACTAAAAATTGAGATCAACGTGTCCGCGCGTTTTTCCATAAAAAAACTATGATATGAATTTTGAATAAATATTTATTCTACTGAACTATTATAACCATGTAATACCTTGGTTATGATAATCATAAACAGGGTCTTAACTCCCGCGGCGGGAGTTAAGGATTTCATAACTCCCGCGCGCGAGTTAAGGATTTCCATAACTCCTGCTTTTACTTTGGATAGGTAAAACTTTGAGAAAAAATATAAATTTTGGTTTATGGTTTATTCCTTCATAAAATGGACAAAATACAGTAAATTCAGTAGGAAATAAAATTATCTATGTAGATATTATCCATTGACAATCCGATGTCCACAGGTATAGGTGAAATTTATCACCTTTCAATGCTATTTGATAGGGAAAGGTGATAAATTTACCTGTACCTGTGGACATCGGATTGTGAATAGGATATACCACGGGAATTATCAGGTGTTAATACCCACAGGCAATTGGTGTCACAAACTTTGCCCTGAGGTATTAACCCCTCATAATTTCCTTGATACATAAATAACTATTATCCGTTACTTTACGGACACATTCGGGCCTATGTTGTATCATGTCCTGTTATTTTAACGGCCGTGTTAAGACTCAACATCTATTTCTGTCTCCATTTTGACGCATAGAATAAACAGTGACAGATAACTTAACGTTGCTGTTAAAATAACAGAAAATGATACATCATAGGCCTGATTTTCTGTTATTTTAACAGCAACGTTAAGTTATCTCTCACTGTTTATTCTACACGTAAAAATAGAGACAGGTATATATTTTAAACTATAACACAACTGTTAAAATAACAGAAGAGGATACATCATAGGCCTGATTGTATGTAGCAAGATTTTCATTATTTAAGACAGACAACAGAAGAAGACGTAAAAAAGGTAATTACACAATTAAAAACAAAGAAGCCACCTGGATCGGATAAAATACGCTCAGAAACCATTAAAGAGATTGCAAATGAAATATTGTCAACTGGTAAAATATAATCGCTCTGTAAATACAATTAATAAAATATGCAACATTACCATTTAATGGTTTAGCAGTTTGGTAGGTCGATGTTATTATTAATAGGCACGTATTGTTGGAATCCCACAAATATAGAAGATCCATGCACAGTCAGCAGCGACATCCGTTTGCATTTATTCATTCCGTAAATGTATATGGCACCTAGCACAATCCCATTGGTCAGATTTAAATTTTAAACCAATTACCTTCGAGTGCCATACGCGCGTACGGAATGTAAATCAGTGCCATATGCACTTACGGATTGCAGGCAAAATCACGTCTCCAGCGGCCAAATATCCTGTTTTATTTTTGTGATTGTCGGGCTTGCATAGGTAGGTCATAGAAGTAAGTTCGGCGTTGCGTTCTATCTTTCGATTTTCTCAAAAATGTTTCGAATAAGAAATTGGCAGTTATTGCTTCGCCGTCATTATTTTAATCAGATCAGATGTAGTTATTCCGGTGTTTGAAATCGCCATGCATGCTGTGACAACGTTGCTACCTTTGAATTATAAATATTTTGAACAGAGACCTGGAAAATATGGAGCAAACCTAATGACTGAAAATGACGCTAGAAGATGGGTGGAAGGACCATCAACTTTTAGAATGTTGTTGATCTAATGCTTTTTAAAAATAGCGAATTTGGCACTTCTAGCTGACTGATTTTATATACAGCTTTTTTGTTTTGTTATATTATTCAATAAACATATTGACGCTTTCCGCTTTCGTTCTGATACTATGTATATTTTCTTTGCTCACCGAAACTTAGATTGATACACCGCATGTTTGTAATGTAATGTAAAATAGATACCTATAGTTGAAGAATAATTGACGCTCAACTGGTTTTCAGCTTAATAAAACTTTCTGCTGCAATTACTAGGTATGACATTCCGTAAGTGCATATGGCACTGATTTACATTCCATACGCGCGTATGGCACTCGAAGTTCAATTGGTTTAAATTTTAAATCTGACCAATGGGATTGTACTAGGTACCATATACATGTACGGAATGAATAAATGCCATCCGTTTGGGTCAAGCTCTCCTTGAGACTATCTTATCCCAGGGAGAGTAGTAAGCTCTCCTCAGGAACGCCTTGTGCATGTACGTTAATGTATTTTATTTTCAACCGTATATGTGATATTGGCCGTTGGCATTACAGACTTTTTAACATCTTGAAAGTGTTATATTTCTGTACTTTTACATTTCATCGGGACGGCAATGCATATAGACCTGTCTAGGCAGGCATGTTTCCGTTCCTATTTCCCTGCTCGTTTTTTTATTTGATACTGACACTGACAGAAAAAGGACTGAAAGCTGATTTTCTCTAAGGCCAATTTCACATTATCAAAAGATATGAAAGATTTCGTACAATAATAGTATATTACAATCCGAGACGGAAAATGCTTCATTGCTGATCGAGAGGTTATATAGTTGAACCTCGAGACAGCAATGAAATTTCCCGTCGAGGTTTGTATACTATTTTATTTTTAACCATAGTTTCTTGAAAAAAAAAATAAATAAATTCGTGACAATGAATGAGGTCGGGAAATGAGGACGAGGAATGAGGACGGGAAATATTTTCCTGCTCCATTTTCCGTCCGTGGACGTTGCAGAATTCTATTCTCGCACTCATTCGTTCGTCCACTCGCGCCTTCGTCGCCAAATTTCGAATAAGTGACCTTCTGGAAACGATAGACCTTACGTAACTTGAAAACGAATCAAGATATTGAATTGCAGTTTGCACCAAAATGTAGATATTTTTTTGCTCTTTAAGCATAGCAATAAAAGAATAATATCATGGCATTTGGTTTTTTCATAAAAAAACTGGATCTTGGATAAACAGCGCCCTCTAGAAGACGCGATGGGAACAATCGTCCCGAACGAAGTGGTGTTCTTAATTTCAATGAAATTCTCTTCCAAATAAGCCAAAATTGAATGAGTTTGAATGAGGGGTATGGGAGATACAGCAATTTCTAAAACTATTTTTCACCAGCTTCCCCCACGACCCTTATAGTGATACGAAAACCTAATGACCAAACTGGCGCAAAAATTAATGAACTTTTGATTTCTGTTGTTAAAACAGTATCTTAATATAGCGATTTCTTGAGAAAATTTGAATTTTTAGGTATATCTTCGTAATTCCGAAGCCGTAAGGTCTATGGTTTCTATAATATCGTACCTGGCCGACCTTAGTGGGACACCCTGTATATGTGGTCGAGACAAGTTTTTGTCAGGGGCCTTGTATAATGTTTATTAATAAGAGACCTAAGACCGTACGTAGACAAAAAGATTTTGTAATCTTCTACGCATTGTTTGTTTTCTTTAAGTATAGGTCCAAATTAATGTCTCCTATAATAACATTTTTTTCTCTGTGTTGATTGAATTGTAAGTATTCGAAAAAAATGTCCAGGAAATATGGTCATTTATTGATGATGATCGGTAAATGTGATTTCACAAGCTAATCTGTAAATACCTAGCATAATAAAAATCCTAGATACATTTTTTGATTGGTACCTTGTCAATTCAAGTAGATACCTACCCAATATGTAGTTATAAATACAGGTTACTCAATACTTCAGGCAAAATAGTCGTTTGAAACCGGTATTTAAATAAATAGTTTAAATCCTTTACCTGTTCAGGTTATTATCGACAGGATTTTTCCATTTTTTTTTTCAATTAGAAATAAATTTCACAAAACTCATCAAAAGTTAGGTACCAGAAAAAGTACGCATAACAAACTTTCACGAAAAAATATTACCGAGAAATGTCGACGATACCGTCAGGATAATTCGTAAGCCTCGCTGTCCGCAATGTAAGGACTCTACAAGACCTATCCGAACAATATTCCGTCATAAACTGGCAAAGCTTAAGGTTGGATTTTCCTAGCAAGCCGCGCGATTCTGCAGCGACTGCGCCATCGGTTTGATTTATGTGAATATGGACATACAATAGTAGGTATAATTTTAATTCTTTATTTGAACTTGTTAAAATGTAAATTCATAATATAGTTATTCAGGTTTATTTTGTTTAGCAAGTCTAGAATGAAAAAACTCAAAAAAATGCTAGTCAGAGAACGAGGGACCTCTACGATGCGTTTTTAGGACTCTCTATAACACATCGCGAACAACCACCTAAAAAAAATGTTTTTTTATGTAAATTAACCTGGCGGATCCGATTTTGGAGTTCGCCAGTCAATCTGGAATTGCGACACTGGTCAAAACCGGCATTTTCCAAAAAATATCTAATTTTATGGATTTTTCTAAATTTTTACCCAACACTCTGTATCTCCCTTTTTTTTTTTTTTTTTTTTTTTTTTTTTTTTTTTTAATTTCACCCTTTCGAGCCCATACTCTACACTGCAGCCTTTTATACGTTTTTTGTATGTCATTCATATGGGCTCTACTCCTTCTCATTCATACTTCTCATTCATACTTGCAGATCGGATGATTGGCGGCAGCGCGGGCGGGTTACCGTCCCGCACTACTGCGGTCACCCATCCAATCTCCATCCCGGCAACACGTTGCTTGGCTTTAGTAGGTCGTCTTTCACGTCCTTGATAAAGAACCAACGTGCCGGTCTGTATCTCCCTTAGTTTTAGTCCGATTGAATTGAAATTTTTTGGAGAGCCAATTTAGACCTTTATTATCATGACTGACATAACAGAAATGCAGAAAAAAAATTACGAGTCGTCATATTATATTTTTTTAACGTTAGTGACACGAAAATTGTTAAAATTGCAGCCAGAAATACTTGATCGAGAAAACTTTTTTGTTTTTGAAGGTAGATGTATATAGTAAGCAACAAAGTTGTAGCCAAAGAATCAAAGAAGTTTTTTTATTCTTGTGATTTTTTTATAACTTACTTAGTTTTCAAGAAAACGGATCCCCAATATAGAAAAAAAACTATCCAGGCCCCGCGGCCGCGGCATGTCAGGTCACGTATAGGTACTGCACTACTGCACAAGCGGTCGCCATGCGTATTGTAGTTTCAGAGGGCAGGGATAATAATTAATAATAACCTATTCAATAATAATCGGGGGTTTATTTTAAAGTTCATTTAGTAAAGTTTAATTTTGGAAAATGAGAAATATGTGAAATAAAGTTTCAAATTTTGATAAAGGCAATTAACAACGGCAGTGGCTCGAATAGATTCGATTTAAAATATCATTCATGTTGTTATTTATGTCCAGTGTTTTTTATCATACTCATCTTTATTCCTTATTCAGCTGATACTCTAATTAATTTTTGGATTGGGTAAGGACAACAACAAATAACATTGAATGTTCTGATGTTAACTTAGTATCAGAGGAGACTGAAAACTTGAGACGGTATTTGAGGGAACAACGTTTGGATATGGTAGAGCTATCGTATGCTAATATCTGTAGTTTATCTGAAAATATTGAGCCTCTAAGAAAACAATTCAACGAAACTTTTGAAAATAACCCCATTTACCTTAATAATAGCCATAGTTTTTTAACGTCCCTGGTATACAACGGAAGAATTACGAACACCTACTAAACATTTTCAGTTGAGGAAAGATAAAATAAACAACTTTTGGATATCTGATGTCACTTTAATTTTTTTTTAAATCGCTCGTACACGTAATTTGATTGTGTGTAGTGTTTGAAATATTTTCAGCACTAACTTGACCCTCTAGGGGGGATGGGACCAATCCTTACCATTCCAAATGGAGCTGAGGGTCGAGTGATACCTGTTTTAAAAGTGCGTTCAATTTTCTTTCAAATGACATCAAATCAAAGAGAATTGAACGCTCTTTTAAAAGAAGTATCACTCGACCCCTTGTTCCATTTGAAATAGTAAGGGTTGGTGCCACCCCGCCTAGAGGGTTAAAGTTGAAGTGCTAAAAATAGTTGCAGAAAACTTCTCCCTTTGAAAACCAAATTACGTGTACGAGCGATTTTTTTAAAAATAAACGTGGCATCAAATATTTAGCCTGTTTCGTTTTAAATGTGCACCCTTGTATAGTTTTAGATCGAAAGATATACGAGGAAATGAATAATCATAAAAAAATATAGTACTAAAATGACCTCTCTAACAGTTTTATTTGATGTTCAACTGTTTTTCAATTATCATTTTCGGATTCGGGGAGAAATTATATAAGATGGGTAGATATTCCGCAGATTTGAAAAAAAAATACAAGTAGGTAGATTCAAAAAAGCGGCTTGTCTAGTCCTCGTTGGATAACCCAGTACATTTTTATGAACCCTACTTAATTACAACATCAAAATACCTCTATTACATGAAGTTATTTTTTCTTATAATTTAAAAAAATATGTATATATTTTACTCAAATTATTGATTTCCAATACCTTCAAATAAAAAAAAAACGGCCTCGGCAACATTCCATGGATAATATAAAACAATTTGCTATAATGTAGATATAAAAGAAGGACGGGAGGGGATCCAAGAAAGCGAAATGTTTTCTCCAAGTGGGACTATTTAAAATTCTGGTGGAGTTTGCTCTCAACAAAATTGGTTGGGACAGTGTGGGTGCGAATGCGAATGTTGCAAGAAAAAGAAACAGCAGGCAAATTAGCTACACTCCGATGATGATATACTGATATAGACTGAATTGGATTTATGCTTCGATAAAAGTAGGTTTTTGTTTTCGACAATATTATCCCTCCAATATATAGAAAAAAAAAGAACAAGGTTTCAAATTTGTAATAGGTACTTTCTAACATTAACATTAGTCGTATAAATTCAAATATGAGGCTATGAGTGCAATAGTGGACTAACCCACAAAAACTAGATTTTCTGTCTTTATACTGTTTCTAACACATAATTTAATAATTTTCAAATGCATAGTGGACCAAACCATCTTCAACATTTTTTCAATAGATGGCAGTACATACACAGTTTTGGTGTTTTAAGATTTGCCTGTCAAATCAGAATCAGAGTGGACTAAGTGCGATTGGTCCACTTTGCTACTGAACAATTGCCTTGTTTTATTTGACGATTTTTGCGTGTAAACAACTGTTTTTATTCAGTGCTCCAATATTGTGCAAAAATTGGACAACCATCATAATGGAGCGTAAGTACTTTCGAGTTTTTCGAGTGGTTTAAAATATCTTATTTGAAAATTAATGTAAAAAGAGTTGAATTTTAATTTAAGGTTAAGTTATGGATTTATTTGATTTGTGTTCGAGAAACTCGGCAAACAATGAAAGTTGATGGTAGTTTTTTAAAAAATTTCCAGGTATGTTAGACTCAGATGAGTCGGATCCTTATGAAGATTCAGGATCAGAATTTGTTCCTTCAGAAGAAGAAGGTGAAGTAAATGAGGCAATAGGAACAAGTAGTGAGGAAATACAAGAGGAAGAAACAAGGGAATTCAAGCCAAAAAAGCGTATTCGTCACGAGCAGAATTGGAGCCGAGCTGTTAATAAAAGGAAAAGATGTGCAGGAGAAGAATATACTACAAAATCTGGAAAAACGGTGCCTTCAAAACCTTTTCAACCGTTTGCTTGTGCCTGTAAAAATAAATGTCATGTTTTACTACCTGAAGAACGACAAAGGGAACTGCACACTAATTTTTATGCTTTACAAAGTTTTGATCTACAAACTTCTTATTTATTTTCATTAGTTAAGGTTGTGAACAAACTACGGAAGTATACCGAGAACGAAAACTCTAAGAGGGATAAAACAAGAATCTACTACATACCTGATGCCACTGGAGAAGAAAGAAAGGTCTGCAAATCATTTTTTCAAGCTGTGTTTCAAGTTTCAGCTGGAAGACTGGATAGGCTACTAAAAAATGAATCAATCGGTTCACCATCTCCATGCGATAAAAGGGGAAAACACCCACCTGCCAATAAAACAAAGGTACAGAAAAACCAAGTTAGATAGTTCATTGGGAAGTTCCCAAGTTACGAATCTCACTACGGTAGACCAAAAAGCAATCATAGGAAATACCTTGCACCAGATTTGAGTCTTGGCAAAATGTACAGTTTGTACAAAACTGAATCAAACAACCCTGTTTCTCATTTTGTTTTTAGAGAAATCTTCAATAAGGAGCTTAACTTACATTTCCATCCTCCCATATCAGATTCATGCAAAAAATGTGATCTTTTTAATATCAAAATTAAATCAAGAGTTGATGAAGTTAAAAAAAGGGAGCTTGAAGTTGAACGTGAACTTCACCAAAGAAAGGCTGAAAGAGCAAGGAATGGCTTGAAAGAAGACACTGATTTATCAAAAGGAGACGTTACAGTTACAGTTATATGTTTTGACCTTATGAAAACCTTGCCAACACCTGTTTTAACAACAGGGATCTGTTATTATAAGAGGCAGCTCTGGACTTACTGCTTTTCGGTTCATAACATGGCAAATAATTTATTTATTTATTTATTTATTTACGGGAAAACCCCATTAACTTGTAATATACATAGTTTTTACAGTTAGGAACAAATCAAAATAAGCTTTAAAAATATTTTTAAGAAAAAAGAAAACAATAAGTATACTCTCTTATAAACAAGTCCAACAATAAATACATAATGCACTTAAAACTAGGTAACCAAGTGTAAGTATCACATCAGAAAAGCTCTCTTGAGTGCTGGTAACCTTATATTAAATATATCCATGTCAGCGCCATTTATAAGGCTCATATACCTGTGTGATGGACTATTACATCCATAAAAAGTTCTGTGGAAAGGAACATGAAAGCAACTCTGATTACGTAGACCATGATAATAGGGCACATTGAGACCAACCTGCCTTAGAAGATCAGGACATTCTACCATTCAAAATTTTCGATCAGAAAACAGATCCAAACATATCTCGGCGTTTACTTAAAGGAGGCAATGAAA